CCCCGCCACAATTGATACAGTGAGAGAACTTGAGACTCCGTGGCCACTTGCTGGGCCCATCCTCGACCGGTTCATCCCGCTGGACGCAGGGGCTGTCGATAGGCTCATAGCTGCAGCTAGACCGACCACTTGCTCCCTCGATCCGTGTCCCTCTTGGTTGGTGAAATCCTGCTTGGAGGGATTATGTGACCCTCTGTTGAAGATCATAAACAGCTCCCTTGAGCAAGGAGTTTTTCCAGAGGGTTTAAAAGAGGCGGTGGTCTCTCCCCTGCTGAAGAAACCAGACTTAGATCCCTCGGTTCCCTCCAGTTACCGCCCAGTTTCGAATCTCTCGTTCCTGGGCAAGGTGATTGAGAGGGCAGCAGCGGAGCAGTTGCAGCAATTCCTAGACGACACAGCCGGACTAGATCCCTTCCAGTCCGGCTTCCGTGCGGGGCACGGGACAGAGACTGTGCTGGTCTCCATCACGGATCACCTTCGATGCCAGCTTGACCAGGGCGGGTCAGCGCTGCTTGTGTTATTGGATCTCACAGCAGCATTTGACACAGTCGACCACAATCTTTTGACCCACCGCCTTGCTGTTGCTGGAGTCAGGGGGAGAGCTTTAAACTGGCTGTCCTCCTTTCTTCACAACCGTGGACAGCGAGTGGAGAGGGGAGGCCTGGTCTCTGAGAGGTCCCCTCTATCTTGTGGGGTTCCTCAGGGGGCCATTCTCTCCCCTCTGTTGTTTAACATCTATATGCGACCACTTGCTCAGCTGGTTCGAGGTTTTGGGCTTGAGTGTTACCAGTACGCTGATGACATTCAGCTTGTGCTGAAGGTGGAAGGCCGACCGGACTCTGTACCCGATTGTTCCCATCAGTGCCTCGAGGCCGTTACTGGATGGCTGCGTGCCAGCAGGTTGAGAGTGAATCCAGCAAGATCCTATGGCTGGGTCAACCAGGCAGTGGGGATATCCAGCTGCCTACCCTGGATGGCGAGGCGTTATGCCCGTCATCATTGGTAAAGAGTCTGGGAGTCCTTTTGGACCCTCTGCTGACGATGGAGGCCCAGGTCTCCGCCGTGAGCAGAACCGCCTTCTTTCATCTGCGGCAGGCTAGGCGGCTGGCCCCCTACCTGTCCAGGGACGACCTAGCTACGGTGATCCAGGCTACGGTCATCTCAAGACTGGACTACTGTAACGCCCTCTACATTGGCCTTCCTCTGTCGGTGATCCGGAAGCTCAAGTTGGTGCAAAATGCAGCTGCTCGGCTTCTTGCGGGAATTCCAATGAGATGCCACATAACACCAATCTTACTACAGCTGCATTGGTTACCAATTGAGCACCAGATCACTTTCAAAGTGATGGTACTCACCTTTAAGGCCTTGCATGGTCTGGGGCCGATGTACCTGAGGGACCACCTCACCCCCTACCAACCCCAGAGATCCCTCCGTTCTGAGGACCAAGATCTATTGGAAATTCCCAGTGTCAAGACCTTGCGTCTAACAGCAACCAGACACAGAGCCTTCACAGCAGTGGCACCATCACTCTGGAATACTCTGCCACCTGAAGTCCGTGCCTTGCGGGACTTATCAGCTTTCCGCAGGGCATGTAAGACATATCTGTTTCGACGGGCCTTTGATCTCTAATTGTTTTTAAATTGTTTTAAATTGTTTTTAAATTGTGTTAGATTTTAGCCATTCTTGTAAGCCGCTCCGAGCCCCAGGGGAGTGGCGGCATATACGTTCAAATAATAAATAAATAAATCAGTTATAAGACATTCAAAGGAATGTTTGGCATGTCTTAATATTTGACTCCTGTCTAAAATTAATAAACTAGGTTGCATTCCTATAAAAATAAATAAATAAACCAGACGAATCCCAGCAGACTTCCTTGCTTATGCTTAGAGGATCAAGTCCAGCGCAACCAAAAGACATCATGGTTAGTGGCTCTAAATCAGTGTTTCTCAACCTGGGGTCGGGACCCCTGGAGGGGTCACGAGGGGGTGTCAGAGGGGTCGCCAAAGATCATCTGAAAACACAGTATTTTCTGTTGGTCATGGGGTTTCTGTGTGGGAAATGTGGCTCAATTCTGTCACTGGTGGGGTTCAGAATGCTCTTCGATTGTAGGTGAACTATAAATCCCAGTAACTACAACTCACAAGTGTCAATGTTTATCTTCCCCAAACTCCACCAGTGTCCACATTTGGGTATATTCAGTATCTGTGCCAAGTTTGGTCCAGATCCATCCTTGTTTGAGTCCACAGTGTTCTCTGGATGGAGATGAACCACAACTCCCAAACTCAAGGTCAATGCCCACCAAGGACTTCCAGAATTTTCTGTTGGTCATGGGAGTTCTGTGTGCCAAGACTGGTTCAATTCCATCGTTGGTGGAGTTCAGAAGGCTCTTTGTAGGTGAACTATAAATCCCAGCAGCTACAACTCCCAAATAAAAAATGACATCCCCCTCCCCAACCTCACCAGTTTTCAAACTTGGGTGTATTGAGTATTTGTGCCAAATTTGGTCCAGTAAATGAAAATACATCAGATATTTACATTACAATTCATATCAGTAACAAAATGACAGTTATGAAGTAGCAATGAAAATGACTTTATGGTTGGGGGTCACCACAACATGAGGAACTCTACTAAGGGGTCGTGGCAATAGGAAGGTTGAGAACCACTGCTCTAAATAATGAATTGGCTAAAATCGGCCTGCCTTTACAATTTCTGAACCATTTAGGACCTAAGTGCTCATGCAACGCACTCAAGATATCTATGCTCAATTGGACCTAGCAAGCATAGCTAGGTCTTCTGCCACAAGGTTTTTAGCTTCTCACAAAAGGAATATTCATTTAGAACACTACCTGACTATTCCACTCTCGCTACCCTTGAGAAGAACATATACTAGGGCTAGGTTTGAACAACTCAGTATTATGTTGCAAACCGGACGTCACTGTAGCATTCCAAGAAGTGAGAGATTCTGCATTTGGGGAGAACAAGTTGTGGAAGATGTCGAACATTTCTTGATTGACTGTCCAGCATATGCCGAACTACGAGGCAGATATTTACACCCAATATTGTCCATCTGCAGGTCCAGCAACACAAGTGATCTTCTGACATTCCTCTCGCAAGGTCAGGAAAGATCCACCATAATCAGAGTAAGCCTTTTTATTCTGAAAGCCCTCAAGAAAAAGAGCATATTTCCTGGATAAAGAACCAGGAAAATAAGACTCTGATTGAATAGTGGGTCAGCTACTGTCCTCACCCTTTTGCCTTGTCTTTTACTCGTTTTGTATTTTGAAATGGTCATATGACTGATCAAATAAATAAATAATTATATAACACCATCATATACATTTTAAACAGTTCCAAAACTATTCTACCACGAAAAATAAGCTACAAGTGGCCAAAATTTCAAAGTTGGGCAGAAGAAGAGGCAGAAGAGGAGGCCGAAGAGGAGGAGGAGGATGAAGAAGAGAAGGAAGACAGACAGACAGATAGATAGAGGGCTTGACAGACAGATAGATAGAGGGGTAGGTAGCTAGGGAGACAGATGGATGGATAGAAAGATATAGATAGGTAAATGAGGAAAAAAGAAGAAGAAATTCAAAACGATCTTGACAGATTAGAGAGATGGGCCAAAACTAACAAAATGAAGTTCAACGGTGACAAATGCAAGATACTCCACTTTGGCAGGAAAAACGAAATGCAAAGATACAAAATGGGGGACGATGCCTGGCTCGAGAATAGTACGTGTGAAAAAGATCTTGGAGTCCTCGTGGACAACAAGTTAAACATGAGCCAACAATGTGATGTGGCGGCAAAAAAAGCCAATGGGATTTTGGCCTGCATCAATAGGAGCATAGTGTCTAGATCTAGGGAAGTAATGCTACCCCTCTATTCTGCTTTGGTTAGACCACACCTGGAATATTGTGTCCAATTCTGGGCACCACAATTCAAGAGAGATATTGACAAGCTAGAATGTCCAGAGGAGGGCGACTAAAATGATCAAGGGTCTGGAGAACAAGCCCTATGAGGAGCGGCTTAAGGAGCTGGGCATGTTTAGCCTGAAGAAGAGAAGGCTGAGAGGAGATATGATAGCCATGTATAAATATGTGAGAGGAAGCCACAGGGAGGAGGGAGGAGCAAGCTTGAATTCTGCTTCCCTGAGACTAGGACGCGGAAAATGGCTTCAAACTACAAGAAAGGAGATTCCATCTGAACATGAGGAAGAACTTCCTGACTGTGAGAGCCGTTCAGCAGTGGAACTCTCTGCCCCGGAGTGTGGTGGAGGCTCCTTCTTTGGAAGCTTTTAAACAGAGGCTGGATGGCCATCTGTCAGGGGTAATTTGAATGCAATATTCCTGCTTCTTGGCAGGGGGTTGGACTGGATGGCCCATGAGGTCTCTTGCAACTCTTTGATTCTATGATTCTATAAGAAGATATTTTTTTTCCATGTCAGGAGTGACTTGAGAAACTGCAAGTCACTTCTGGTGTGAGAGAATTGGCCATCTGCAAGGATGTTGCCCAAGGGATGCCCTAAGAGTGTTTGAAGTTTTACCATCCTTGTGGGAGACTTCTCTCATTTCCCCGCATGATTAGCTGGAGCTGACAGAGGGAGCTCATCCATGCTCTCCCTGGATTTGAACCACTGACCTTCCGGTCCTCAGTCCTGCTGGCATAAGGGTTTAACCCATTGCACTCCAGGGGTTCCAAGAAGAAGAATGAGGAAGAAGGGAGAGGAGGAAAAAGAAGGAGGAGGAGGAGGAGGAAGAAGACAAAGAGAAAGAAATAGAAGAGGAGAAGAAATAGGAAGAAAAAGAAGCAAAAAGGAGGAAGAGAAGGAAGAAGGAGGAAGAAGAGAAGGAGAAAAAGAAGAGGAGAAAGAGTAGGAAGAAAAGAGGAGACGGAAGTAGAAGAAGAAGAGGAAGAAGAATGAGGGAGAAGAGCTGCCTCAGTGTGGCCCTCCTTCCTTCCTCCCTGCCCCGCCACTGCCCTGCCCTGCCCGGCAGGCCTACCTCTCTCACACTGGGGCCCGGTGAAACCGTAGACACAGGCACAGCGGTTGGGCCCGATGCAGCGGCCCCCGTTCTGGCAGCCACTCTCGCACACAGCTGCGCGCACAAGGGAGGGAAGCAACAAAAAAGGAGTCAGTCCCTACGGCCGCCCCTCTGACCCCTCCCCACAGAGGGCCACCCAGCCTATGGACCAAACCTTCCAGGGAAGGATAAGTAGGTGGATGAGAGGCTAGATAGGTGAGAGATTGGATGGATGGATGGATGGATGGATGGATGGATGGATGGAGGGCTTGACAGACAGATAGATAGAGGGGAAGGTAGGTAGGGAGACAGATGGATGGATAGACAGATATAGATAGGTAGGTAGGTAGGTAGGTAGTTAGGTAGGTAGTTAGGTAGGTAGAGATACATAGATAGTCAGAGAGAGAGAGAGATAGGTAGATGGATGGGTGGATGCATGGATGGAGGGAGGAATGGATAGATAGATTGAGGGATGGATGGATGGATGGAAGTACGGACG